CGATTTCGTGTGAAATTTTATACATCCGATCCACAAAATCTTCATGACGAATTAACACGGTGAGTGACAAAAATAAATTCATTCATTCTAATTCATTGTTTTATTTAATAAAGGTATTTGTTTGTACTTCAACTTAAAGATGATATTCGTACAGGAAGATTGGAGTGTCCGTCTGGATCAGATGTGGAATTGGCTGCATTAACTATGCAAGGTAAATAGAATATGTCTGATCAGAATTTCTCGTTCCAAAAAATGAGCTTTTATATTGTTCTCTAAAAAGATGTCTCTTGTTTTGCCAGATTCAATAGTTGAGTAAGATAATGTCACATATTTACCAAATAATTGGATCATTTTTTCCAGTACGCCTATGTATAATATCATTATGTGCAATTCAAATATTATATTCAGCATGAGTGCTTTTTCGTTGTGAACTGATCGTAGCAATCACTAACAGCTGTTGACTATGAATCATTTATTAGTTTAATATATGATGGCTTTAGAAAATCATATGTTTTTATAATTTACCTAATCGAGTGAAATAGATTGATTCATATTTAGAATTATAATTTATCGGAAATGAGTAGAATTACTTTAAATAATAGGATAAATTCTAAAATGAATTACTCAGCATAGTTTTATTAGTAAAATTCGATCAAGAATACACAATTAGAATCAGCTCGATTTATTATTTACTACTTACAGTATTATCTTTATGACCAGTAATCGTAATTTCTAATGTAACAGTTTTCGCTAATATCGACAATGACGTTTATAAGAGAAAATTCACTACTATATAAAGCCGGGGACACATTAGAAGTCTCCCCTTAAAACCTGTAAACGCTACCACATTTTAGAAGACCTGGAGTCTTCTGTTGCGACCCGGCTTTAGTCATAAGATTGAAGAATCATTTTTGTATTAATCTGATATAATCCGGTAGATCTGACTCGAAAACAAAATCGATCAGCAGAACTATGTTGTAATTTATTAAACAATACATCACTATTTTACTTTGTAGCTGAACTAGGTGACTATACAAAAGATGAACATTCAATTGCAAATATATCTGAATTTCGTTTTCAACCTAATCATAAACAAACAGAAGAATTTGAAAAACAAGTGTCAGAAAAATGGATGACATACAGGTAAAATAAAATCTTAATTTGATTTTTATTATGTTTTTCTTATTAATATAGAGGTTTAACACCAGCTGATTGTGAAGTTCAATATTTAAGTAAAGCACGTTGGTTAGAAATGTATGGTGTAGATTTACATACAGTTATGGGTAAAGATGGTTTAGAATATAAACTTGGTTTAACTCCAACTGGTATTCTTGTTTTTGAAAATAAAATCAAAATTGGTTTATTTGTTTGGTAAAAACTAGTCGTTTTATAAAGAGAAATGAAAACATGCGAAATTTTCTATTTTCTTTAGGTCAAAAGTAACAAAAATAGATTTTAATCATAATAAATTAACCATTGTTGTCGTGGAAGATGATGATAATGATCCACGTTTACAACGTGATTTTGTCTTCTTATTTCGTTGTTACGATGAAAAACAATGCAAACATTTTTGGAAATGTGCTTTAGAATATCATGTATTTTTTCGTACAACATCAGCAAATAAAGCAAAACAAGGAACGAAATCAACTTTTGCACGTACTGGTTCACGATTTCGATTTAGGTATGATAACAAAAAGTAGATAAATTTTATTTTTATTTTATTTTTTCCTCTAAAGTGGTCGAACTGAATGTCAAACAGCTGCATTAGGGAATTTAACAAATCATAATATGAATTTTGAACGTAAAGCTTCACAACGTTTTTCACGTCGTGCATCATATGCAATAAGAAAAAAAATTCAAGAACAAGAAATTCTACGTGAACAAGAAGATGAACGTTTAAGAAAATTAAAATCTGAACAAGAAGCAAAATTAACAGAGTATTTTTTCTTTCTATTTAATTATATACATAAGACTCATTACTTTATTCTTTTTCAAGTAGATTTAAATCTCAAATAAATTCATCCAATCATGATTTGACCTCGATTTCAAAGCGTTCATCAGCAATATCATCATCATCACAGAAGAATGTAAATCTATCAGCTGCACAACGTTTAGATAATCTTATTCAAGGAGCTCCGACTGAATTATCAATCGAAGGTAAAGATAATAAAATGTTTTGTTTACTATGAGAAGAAAAAACAGCATGTTTCATAACTGTAAAAAAATAAAGATTATCATCATGATACTGTACTTCCCTATCAAAGTCCTTGTATCAATTGTCTAGCAATTAATATAACGACTGAAATGTAATTAATTATATATATTTGTGTATATCAAGTAAAAGAAAAGTAAATAACATTGCTTTTATGATGATAATATAACCTCGATATTTATATTAATATAAATACCAATGAGAATGTTATTATGAGAAACACTTGTAATATTATAGAATGCTACATAGATTAATATGCTAAGAAAAAGTATCATTCGTGATCTACCAGGGGGTTCTACTTTATTTTAACAAAAAAATCAATAGAAAAACACTTTTTTCCATTATTTTTCTTAGCCAGAAGTCATCTCATTGAAAAAAACTAGAACAGAAAGTTTTAATTTTCTTCGCTGCCCTATGATTCATTTCTCTTGGTCTTTTTCCAAGTAGCGAGTATAGTGTCTGCAGACTATGCACACAAATTCTTGCTTTTCTTCGAACGACTTATTGATTATTTGGCCTTGAACTATTTCTTAGATTCTTAAACAGCACATCAAAGAGTAAATATCGTACAGGACTTTCCCGAAATGATACCATGCTCATATGACTTCTGTTTTACTTCAAGTTCATCAGAACTCGAAAATTCAAACCCCATTCTATGAAAATCATCATCCGAAGAGTTCGCGTTTTAAAAACTTAATCCTACCGAATGCGTTAAAAGCAGGTTTTTTTTTCTACAAATAACAAGAGTATTGATGATCTTCATTACCGCATCAGAAAACTAGAGTGATTTCGCAAATCTTTCCTTTCAATCTCAAGCTACTCGAATCTTGATAAACATGAAGTTTTCGACCATTAGTTTACATTTACAAGAAAGACAAAAATTTTATGTGATATAATTGTATCATGTAAACAAAAAACATATCGCAAGGTTATTTTTCCATATTATTAACATGTCATAAGGAATTAAACATGAATTACATTGAATATCTAATCAAAATATTCTCTTATTATTTCCCGAAATACTCGAGTTTTTAGAAGTATAATTAATCAATTTATATTTTATAGAAAATGAATCACAAATAAATTTAACAAATCTTTCTCCGCCACCAGTTCCTCCTCGACAAAGCAAACCTGATGATAAAGCAACACCACCACCATTGAATCTTCCCAAACAAACAATTTCAATATCTTCTTCGTCAACGAAAGGTTTGTGATTATATGCACAAATATTTATTCTTTTTTTTAATCGAAATTTTTAAGAATCATCAAATGAAGTTATTCCTATAAATCGTCATATTGACGATGATAATGAACAAACATTATTAATTCAACTATCACCACAAAAATCTCCAATAACCCTAACAAATGGGTAAAGAAAATTTAATCTTATTCTTTTCGATAAAAATTAAATATTTTGTTTAGACATAATCAAATAAATTCGTCACGTATGGCTAAAATGAACAGTCTTCCGAATCGATATGTTTTAGCAAATAGTCAACCAACACCTTATGTAGTAAAAGTAAATAGTTTATTTTTTTATTTCTTGTCTTAAACAACGAAAATTTCTATTTTTTTCATCATTTTCTTTTTCAAATAGCAAACATCTTCTGATGATTTTGAAATGAATAAAACTAGTAGTAGTAGTAAAGATAATAATCATAAATTTCCTCTATTCTTTTCACCTATATCGGAATTAACATCATATGATATAAATCGTGCATCATATGATAATATTCTAAATTATTGTCTTAATCCAATGAATGAATCGAATTCAATATATGCTAAATTTAATTTTCATCAACGTAATAATTCATCAAATAAAGATAAACAATTTGAACAACGTTGTGCTAATTATGATAATTTATCATATCTTGTTATTGATGGACCATCATCATCATCATCGAAAAAATTCTTAAATAGAAAAATAGGAAAAATAGCTTCTTGTAAAGATTATTTCGCTGCTACTACTGGTTTTAGTTTTAATGAGAATGGACAACGTAAGTAAAGATTGTCTAGGCATGGAGTGAAAAAGACATGCATGATTTGCATTTTTAATATTAATAATAAATATATAAATATTAAAAAAAATTTATTTTCTATTTAGGAGACATTATTTTGCAGCGAAACAATAACAAATCATAAGAATCTAAATACCAATAATCAAAGTATAGTACAAATAAATATATTATCAATTATTTTTATATTTTATTTAGATATATCAACTTCTATAGCTCCTGTTATAGTAACTCGAACATTAAGTCAATCAAATGTTCGTAATGCATCATCAACATTAGTTCAAACAACAAATACAACATCTTCAATATCATCTCAAGTTCATTCTAATAGTCCATTAATATTAAATCATTCACAATTTTATCATCCAATAACAACTGAATTATAAAACACTTTAACCTCTATGAGGTTTTCCTCGTTTCCGTTTTTTTTTGTCTTATTATTTTGTGTATATTATGAATTGATGCTGTGTTTTTAATCATTATGACTCGTTTGTTTGTTTTTTAAAAAATTCATTTCATTTTTGTCATTATATAGAATTTTTGAGTGAATGATTAATAAAATTGAAAAAAAAGCAACAAAAAAGGAAAATATCATTATTACTATTCTCGTCACATATCATTGATGATTCTATTAAGGAGGTGATACTTTAAACATATGTGACATTTTCTTTTTATCTAAGGTGCTTTTAATTATCTTGTCAGTTTTAATGATAGAGTTGCTTGTCGACTGAGAGAAATTAGTTATTAGAATAAAATCAATAGAATGCCATATGTTTTTGTGCTTAAAAATAACGTCAATAATATGTTATCTAAGACATCATCATCAGCGATACAAACATCTCTTGACACCAGCTGTGACATCAGCTCAATAAATGACTCTTTCCACCTCCTACCCTCTTCATGTTATTTTTTTGTTGATTGTTTCTCTCTCTCTCCCTTTCAATCGCCTACGATGATAGATTTCTTTTTTAACAAGAATAAAAGGCATAGAACATATATATATATATATTGTTATTTAAAACGAGTAAGATAATAGTTACATTTTCTTTTATAACTAATATTTAATTAGATATATGTATTTATCTTTGTTATCAGTCGCCATTATTATTTTTTCCTATACTTTTGATTAGAATACATTTCCGATCCTCTATTATTTTACTATAACAATTAACATTCGCTTGAGGAAAATGCATTAATATCTTGAAAATCGTCAAATCAAAACTATGTCCAATCAAATTCTTCTAGAAAAAAAGAAGCTGGAAGGAAAACACTCACTGCACAAGTAGCGACGTCATCATCGTTTACAATCATTATTTAACAAAATTCTTTTATATCTATATATCTACATATATATATCGATTGTCCTTGAAATACTTTTTTTTCTTCTTTTAGATGACACAAACTAATGCTGGTGGATCAGCTAAAGATGCAGCCGATCAAAATTTTGATTATATGTTTAAATTACTTATTATTGGAAATTCATCTGTAGGAAAAACATCATTTGTATGTTATTTATTTCTATTTAAAAATTCGATATTTTAAAAACATTTTTTTTTTCGCCAGCTGTTTCGATATGCAGATGATTCATTCACATCAGCATTTGTTAGTACTGTTGGAATTGATTTTAAGGTTAAAACTGTATTTCGTCATGATAAACGTGTTAAATTACAAATATGGGATACAGCTGGTCAAGAACGTTATCGAACAATAACAAGTAAAATATTTAATTTTTCATATTCTATGATCTATAAATTTCTTTTTTTTCCAGCTGCTTATTATCGTGGTGCGATGGGTTTTATTTTAATGTATGATATAACAAATGAAGAATCATTTAATGCTGTACAAGACTGGTAAGTTAAAATCGATGAAAAATTCGTTTGCTTTTTAGATAATTCAATGACATAAATTCCATGCGTACATTCACATATATATATTGAAAAGAAAAGAACCATGTGCAATTATTTTCAGGTGTACACAAATAAAAATGTATTCATGGGATAATGCACAAGTTGTTTTAGTTGGAAATAAATGCGATTTAGACCAGGATAGAGCTGTAACACAAGAACGAGGCCAACGTCTTGCAGATCAATTGGGTAATTTATTAATAAATATTGTATCTTGAATGTACGCTTGAAATCGTCTTGTTATCAATGTCTTTTTTTTTTTCTTTCGGGTTTTGCTTTATATATGTTGTGTTGTATGTATTGTTTTTTAAAGGGTTCTACAGATAAAGACACATTCATGGGAAAAAACCCCGGTTATATTGGCTGGTAATAAATGTGATATGGCAAACGAGAGAGTTGTTCAGTCGATAGAAGGAAAAAAACTTGCCGAAGATCTCGGTAAGGTTTTTCTTCTTTCGTACAATTATTTTTATTAGAAAAAAACAAATTTCTTTTTTTCAATGATATATATATATATATATTGTTTTATTTTTTAGGTTTGGAATTTTTTGAAACTTCAGCAAAAGAAAATATTAATGTTAAAGCTGTTTTTGAAAGGTTAAATAATATTTTAATTTTCAAGATATATATATGTATATATTCGTTTCATATTCAGATTGGTCGATATAATATTAGAAAAAATGTCTGATGCACCTGAAGATCCAAGTGGTAATAACACTGGACAAGCAAATGCTGGTTATGGTAGTCAACCAGGTGGATATAATAAAGGAGGAACGACAAGACTTACAGTTAATGATCAACAAGCTAAAGGCAATCAATGTCAATGTTAAAATAAACAATATAAATATATGCCTTTAAAATAGATTATTGCAATTTTATTATTTCCAGTCAATGTTTTCCTCTATATTTATTTATCGTTGTTTGTCTTGTAAGGAAAAAAAAGAAGCAAATAAGATAAAAAGTTTTCTCATGTTTTTTTTTCTTCTTCTACATTTTCTCATTTTTCAATGGATATCATTCCGATTTAAGTTTAAATGTATATAAATGTGATGTGACCATATTCTTTTTTTTCCTTCTCCTCCTCCTCCTCCTTCTTCTTCTTCTTGTATTTGTGTATTTTTCAGTCTTTTATTTTTTGTGATGTGACCACCTTATTCTTTTCACTGATTATACCTCAATCGTATTTTTATGTGCAGTATTTTGATGTATCACTTTCTCATTCGCGTCAGATGAAAGGTGGTTCATCATTAATCTGATCTATGCGTTTGGCTTTTAACCTATTGTTTTTTTTTTATGTTTTAACCAGTCTACAACCTTCATACATACATTTCAAAACAATAATTTTAAAGCTCTTTTCTTTTTCTTTATCAGAAAGAAGATTTTGGAATTATCCTTGATGCACATTAACTGATCCTATGGGAATAGTTAGGAAAAACAAAAAAACTATCAGACCCTTAAATTGTTTGAAACAAAATATTTGATAATTTAATTAGATTGAGAAGGAAACAAAAAAACAAGTTATTTATTGGTAATAGAACAAAAAACTAATTGAATTTGAAGTTTAGTTGTATACAAATATTTTATAGTATCAATATGTTAACTAATAAGAAGTATTTGTAACTTTTTAAGGGATATATTAATTCTCTTCTAGTAAGGAATTATCTTAAATAAAATAAATACTATAAAAAAAAGCTTCTTATCTTGATTGGAACACGTGCATATCCCTTCGTTTCTTGACGATCGTTCTAGCAACTATAAAAAAATAGAAGGAAAGAAATTTAAGCTACTTAAATTAATAATCAATTTATAAGTGTTAATTAAACTAAAAAATTTATGTATACTGAAATCGTTAAGAATTTTATAAAAAACATTCTTAAAGAATTATTGAAGCATAAAAATGACATTTTGTAATTTATTCCTTCCTGTCATACATTATAAGAGACATAGTATTAAAAATAAGATCTATTATATATATATATATATATATATTATTTAACGAAAAACCCAAGAGTTTATATCGTAAGGGAAATGACAAAATCTGCTCATGTCTCTCTTGATTTCAATGCAATTAAAAATATATCGATTAGTTTTTGGTTGATGAATTCGAGGGTTGTGTATCAATTATTTTTCTTATATATGTTCTAGATCATGGATATTTCAGAATTTGAAAAAAATTCTCTGTTCAATATTATATTTCGTTCACCATATATATCGAATTCTGATGATAAAAAAAACGATGAAAAATCATTTTTTCTTGGTATCGATGAAGCTGGTCGTGGTCCTGTATTAGGTCCAATGGTTTATTCAGCATTTTTTTGTGATGAAAAACATTTATCAGTTTTAAATGATCTCGGTTGTGCAGGTAAATATATATCGTATATTAAATATCCTAAAAACGAATTGTTTTATTTAACTAGACTCCAAACAATTAACCGAAGAACGTCGTTCGTCAATATTTGCTGAGTATGAACAGCATAAAAACTATTTGGGTTTTATACTTAAAGTACTTTCACCACATATGATTTCTACTTGCATGTTACGACGGTATAGATTCATTTTTTTTGGATTAGTTTTAATTCATTTTTAATCTTTTTAGAAATAAATACAATTTAAATGATATGTCTCATGGTAAATTATTTAATCCGCCTATTCATTAAACATATTTTTGTTTCTTAGATGCAGCGATTGAATTAATAAAATTAGTTCTTGATCAAGGTGTCAATGTTAAACAAGTATGATATTATATTTTTTGACAAAAACAAAATGTTGCGTTTATTTTTAAGGTGTTTGTCGATACTGTTGGAGATCCTGATAAATATGCAAATAAAATTCGTTCGCATTTTCCAAAACTAAAAATTACTGTATCAAAAAAAGCTGATTCACTTTATCCAATTGTTTCAGCATCGAGTATTTGTGCTAAAGTCGTTCGTGATCAGATTGTTCAGTCATGGAAAATACATGAATTTGATGAAGAAAAACAATCGATTCAATATGGTTCCGGTTATCCGAGCGGTTAGAAAATCGTATAGACATATTTATTTATTTATCTATCTATAAATAGATCCCCAAACAAAACGATTTTTAATTGAAGCCATCGATCAAATATTCGGTTTTCCAAAATTTGTTCGTTTTAGTTGGTCAACAGCATCAACTATTATTGAAAATAAATGTGTTAAAGTCACTTGGTAAAAGAAAAATTCGGTATTATATATGTATATTAAAGATTTTTTATTAAGGGATGATGATGAAGATGAAAATGCAACTACCAATACAACGAAGAAACGTAAATCAGAAGTTATTGAAACATCATCAACAACAAAAACACTTTTCAGTTATTTTGCTCAGAAAAATGTTACGAAAAATGATACTAGTAATCGACGTACATCAGGCAGTCATTTTTTTCGAGCAGCTCGTCTTAAACCAGCTGTTTTTCCAATGTAATTACTTAGAGGTGCTATTCATTATTAAAAAAAACATTTATGTTAGTTATTAATAAATCAATTTATGTAAATAATAAATATGACGATATAAAATTTGTGTAAAGAGAAACACAAAAATTTCATAAAGATTTGAAATCAAAAATACTTTACTGTTGTCTTAAGTAAAATAAGAAGATATTTCAATCGGATTCATCATTAAAGAAGAAGAAAAAAAATGTTATGCTTAGATATATTTCTTATTAGGTATACCAATAATGAACTATCAATTAATAAAAGATTCTATTAGTTAAATGATCACTGAATTCGTGTTCGTGTTATTTAACAAATGCATAAACATTGTAATACCTTCAATTATAATGATCAAAGAATTAAAAACTTAGCATTTATATTAAGAGATCTAACAATTTCGTAGTGTTTTTTCTACCAATCCGGTTCCGGTTCCGGCTTTTAAAAAATAAAAAAAACTTAATTCCGGTTTGTATTCTCGGCTTCGATCATTTCATTTATATTGATTAGTCATTCACACTAACACATAGATTTAATTCAAATCTATTCGACTATTACAATTTTATAGATATATACATTTCGAAATCAAGGTTATTTTTTTGTAAATTTCTCTTACGCAAATAACCTATCTGAAACTTTGATATATAGTAAAATCAATCAAACTATAATATTCTTTTTTTTCCGAAGATTATCTTGCTGATGGGATAATGTAAAGAGTTTTTGTTTCATCCATCATAAACGAAGAAAGGACTGTTAATCGCCCATAAATACGTCAATAAATCTTCGAACCCCACTTATCCACTGAATGAGAAATGACAGATCACAAACTACTTAGAGTACTTTGGATTAATAAATCTATTGGTAATATACGTATTGAATATCGATCACATTTTTGTAATCGATACAACAATATATTATCCCTAAAAAACACTTTCATCCTACGGAAAAGATCTAAAGCAGCTGGCTGCATATGCTCTAGTAATTGACTAATATATAGTTATAACGGCAATATTTTTCTTCTTCTTCTTCGCTTAATAAGATAAATTCTGACATCCATAATCATTTGTATTCAATTGAAAAATCAATTTGTACATTGCGTATATAAATAAAATTTATTAAAGTATATTTTTATCTTAGAAAACTTTCTATTAAATGCTATCTAACTGAATAACAAAGACCAATATTAATATACTGTTTATTTAATGTGACATTTCATGTGAGGCAATTAATCAAATCATGATCGATGAAATACACTAGAAAAATACTAGCATGAATAACTAAGATATAATTTTTTCTTATAATCTAAAGGTACAAATCAAATGTTTACATGAAAGCAAAATAACGAAGATAGAATTACTAAATAATAAGGTACAGTTCGACAAATTGTTAGTGATTTTGTTGCGATTGGAATTGATCTGTCATCTCTCATATTATACCAATATGTATAATTTCGAAGATGTTGATTAATTATTACGATCATATCATTTTTATTACATAAATTTTTGTTACATTTATATTGTATAACTTCTTTTTCATGTTTTATTAATCTTGGTACATGATATTCTATATTACTAAATAAAGTTGGTGAATTATCTTTGGCACAATGTTGTTCCATATTTGTATTATCTGCAGAACATAAACCACTCTTACATATCACTGCTGATTTGTTACCTCTTTTACTATTATCTTTACAATAATAATGTTTTGATTTATTTGTTGGTAAACGTGATTTATATAATTTTGAACGAATTTCATCTAATTGTAATTTTCCATCAGTAATTAAACGTTGAATCGTACTTAAATAAAATAAACGTGCACAATCATTTTGTGTATTACATTCGTATTGACGATCTGTTATATTTGGTTGACCAGATTGTTCATTAAAACCTAACCATACTGTTTGAATTAAAAATTCCGTTTGATAAGGTTCTCTTACATTATTTGTATCATTGCTAGCTATAAAATCGATATAAACATGTTTTGCATCATAATCAATACGATAATGAACGGTACAAATTAATGCGATATCATAAATATCTGTATTTTCTTGACATGCAACAGGTATCCATAAGGATTTGTTAAATGGAACAATTATTTTACTACATTTTGATGTACAGAAAATATATTTACTTGAAGAATATTTAATTAAAAAAACTGAAAATAAAATTAGTTGACAGAAAGATCGCATAGCGACCGTTATCGATCGATAATAAAAGAATGTAAGTATGTAATTTATCTTCTCACATGATGCGAATTCGTCGCAGAGTTAGATCGACGAAGAGAAAGAGCGATGAAAGAAAGAGAAAAATAACACAGAAACACATGAATACACGCACAGCAGCTTGCTCTCTAACGACCTTTTAGGTGTAGTTATATATTCTAAGAAAACATGCAGCTATCTTACAAATAATGCGTAGGAAATCATCCATAGAAAATAAAACACATAAAAGAATGAGAAAGAAAAAAAACGACAAAAGACTATGTTATATAGAGAAAAAAAAATTCTTTTTTTATTATTCTATTATTTTATTTTCTCACAATGAACAATTTCTTCAGAGACAATAGATTCAATAGGAAGTTGACTTAAATAAATTTAGCTGCTGTGATGTACTCTATAGACCAGATAAAAAAAACTGGCAGATGTCAGTTTTTTGTTTACAACAATATATGGATATTTAAATAGAAATCATAGTTGAGATAAGTGTTGCTCTCAACAAACAAACTGTCAGAATAAGTACGTAGGTCAATAGAATAAATACAAATATATATATAAATGTTTTCTATATAATTTATTTGAAGAAAAAAAAAGTATGCTGTTAGCTAGTATTATATATCTTTTATATTTACTTTTGGATGATTGTAGCTTATGGGCATAATTTAAGTTTTGTATGGTGTAATACTATACTCGTTACAAGTATTTTTTATTTAAGAGATTAACAGAACGAAAAAAACGTTTCTTTGCGTATTTTGGCATTAAGATATAAAACAAACTTGATAACATGTCAATCAGCAAGAGTCCAACTGCGAATACAAGCAAATCGTACATTATGCGATAGATAAGCTTTGTAATTATAATATCAAAACACAGCAGTTTGTGGGTTAGAATAAAGATTGACAAGACATTTAAGTTAACATCCGTTCATTTTCTTGATGCTTTTATAATTTATATCTGGAAAACATCAATGACAGCAAGCATCAATAATCGTGTTGTTATTATCACTTTAGTATTATTACTTCTATGTGTATTCTATTAACTTCTATCGTCGTTAATTTGAAATAACACGCGGTTATAACAGGATAAATAATAGCGTATAATTGCACGCTGATCAAAACTCGTCTTATGAATTATTATGCATTATTATTGGCAAACGTGACTGTTTTATGAATTCATGAATTTTTGAATACCCTATTGATTGAATATTCATCTATTCTTTAATTGGTTATTTTATCATATTGTATCAAAAGCAGTGAGAAGAAAAGAATAAACTATATTTATACTAAATGAATCATTATGATTATATAGTCATATTATAATCCGTATTGTTTAGAAAAAGTTCATACATCATACGAACTTATGACATTTTCTCATTACTAATGCATGATAGAATCTATTATTTCATATGACGACATACACCAAAATACATTAGTCATTTCTAAACGAAGAAAACTGTCAGATATTATAGATATATACATATCAAGGTTTTGTATGACTATATTTGTTTATTTTTTAAAATATGTACTGCGACAAATGATTATATTCACTCGAGAAATAAAATGTAATATTACTCATACAGGTTGATTATGTTATTTTTTGTATTTATGTGAAACACTAGAAATTTCTTATCTTAATACGGTTGGATAAAGCATCGATTACTCTATCGAATCATATAGTTTACATTTTATACATCCTACGGCTCTATTCCAAAAAATTAATGAATTTCAGAAAGCAGCCAAAAAAAATTTTTTTTTTTGAGTAGCCTACAGTGTGTGTAATTAAAAATAAAATACATGAGATGATGCAGCGTTATAAGTAGAGACTTGCATCGGAGTCAATCTTTTGCGTCCGTGAACCTCAATAAAACATCGATTGAGCTCTCAAAATACATCCGTTTGTGGAGAAAATATCAAAGAATAGAACCTTCACCTAAAAAAAATTAATGTAAAATATGAATTATAGACAGGAAATTTAGTTGACACCGATACAGGTCTCTAGTTACAAGCTCTACAGTCTACATATTATAGCGTATATTAATTGTGCACTTTTTTGTTTTCCGAAAAGCGCAAAGTCAGTGCGACCATTTCTTATAATTGCAAAAAAAAACATCTTTTTAAAGGAACAAGAGATTCTTTTTTCTAATTATATATTTCTATCGCGCAATATGTCTTTGTAGAGAACAAAATATATACTAAAAGAGGAAGCGTGAACAGCTCTATAATTTACGCACTACAGCTCCTAATAATTGTGAAAAAAATGTCCTGTCTTTCATTTGATAGTTACCATTAGAAAAATGTTTTTAGACTACATTCGAAGGACATAAAATGTAAACTATATGATTTGTTAAAGTAATCGATGCGCTATCCAATTGTGTTAGAATAAGAAATGTCTAATACTTTCCATGTAGAATAAATATAAGAAAAATCAGATTAAAAATTAATTATAATGGCACCATTCTAATCTGATTTTTTCTATAAGTAACTGCGATTATATATGATATGGATTATTTTATAATGATTTTAATCAGTTTTAATCGATCAAAAAAAACTTAATCAGTTAAATCTTTATAAAATAATCCAAATCATATATAATCGCAGTTACTTATGATAAAAATCAGATTAAAATGGTGCCATTTTAATTAACTTTTAATCTGATTTTTCTAATCTTTTTTTTTTACATTGGTTCACACAACTCGTAAAACTTGTTATTGAAGTGATGAACAATTCAATTGACGAAATGAAATATGCATTCGTGCGGAAATTATAATCGAAAAAACTATGAATGTCATGAAGAATGCAATTATAAAATATTTCAAATGGTCATATCCGATAACTTCCTGAAGATAATGATGCATCTAAGAATTTCAATAGTTATTAGCATCGAATTATTCATACATGATAAATAGAAAACAATTACAATTACAATTACAATGACATATAACTATAAATATCGATAAGATACAAACAGAAAGGTTGTAATCAATCATTCTATTATTTAGAAACAATATGTATGACATTTCGTGCTACCTAAGAACATCATCAGACACGTATAAGTGAGCGAGAAAGTTAGATAATATAAATACAGTGATATTATGTGCGTGTTTTTTTCTTAAATATTCTAATGGACGTGTCTGATGATGTTTTTAGGTAGAACGAAACATCACGTATATTGTTTTTTAATAATAAAATGATTGATAGTCCTGTTATTTGTGTCTTATATAAATACTGTAATCAAGACTGTATTAGTAATGTTCTGTAATATATATAGTTTCAATTCACAAATCGATCCAAAATGATAAATACTGTTATGTATTGCTAACATTTGTTAAACATGCAAGAAGAGTATTGCCATTATAAGATATCTATTTCACATCTTGAATAAGTTAGTGCGTCTTGTCGTGTTCGGAAGGACAAAAAACAATATGATTTAATCGATATCTCTGCTGAATTACATAAATACATTCCAAACTATCTTTGCTTGCATAGAAAAGAAAAAGGATAAATTTTCATTGTTACATATTGTTGTTATTATCGACATACATATTTACATTTAATAAGAACCATATTTATGATAACACTTTGTAATATAATCCGAACGCTTTTTTTATTTAATATTCCAACTATATGTTGCTTTTCTAATTTATTTCAAATTAGATTAATTTTATAATGATTCATGACAATAGCAGATATTCTTCTATAATAGAATAATAAATTTCGTGATGTCTATCAGCAATGACTTGATTCAATACGTCTAATTATTGTCAATTCTTTTGAACACGTTCTATAATCAAGGTCATACTTATTCTAAGGAACTTGAACTTATTTATCAAAATGAACCAGTCCATTTAACAGTTTGCTTCATTTTATATAGCTGTTTCAAACGTCATATGAATTATACAACTATACTAGTTCGTCGTACAAAAATTCTTCTTCATTTTAAAACGATTATTGATCATACTGATAAATTATTATATCGATAGTGTACTCAATACAAAGATCTAGCAAAAGTTCGTTTAGATACGAATGAACATGAAACTAGAAAGTAAACGAACATCTTCGCAAGAACATGAAATGTTGATGTAATTCAAGTTGAAGAAGAAAACAAACATTATTTTATTACCAACTGTTAACCGTTTAAAACTTTCATCAACAAAAATAATAGATGAAATACTTTCACTCCTTTTTATTGCTTAGGAAACAATATCAATTTCATTGTCTGACCGTAGGAGTCAACGTATTTCACTCGAACAACTTAACTCCCTTGTTTATTTAGAATGTGTCCTTCGTGAATTATTAAGTTGAGTTCCATCTATGTTAGGTACTGTTCGAACATTGACAACTGATGATAAACAACCAGCAAGTGGATTTGAATTGAGAAAAGGTGAATCAGTCGTGATTTCATTTTATGTTTTAGCAAGAGATCAACGTTATTGCTCCCATTCATACGATCTAAATGGTACAGAACATAAAAAATATTTATCAGGATTGATAGCATTTCGTTGTAGTGATCAACAGTATATGGATTCAGATTTAGCGCGATTAATGCAAGACTTATACAATTTGTAAGTTTTGGTGATGATGGAAATGAAGTAAATAGTCAACGATACGACATAATAGATTTAATTAAACCAAAAAGAAGTTGGTGTGACTGTTAGATTTGATTAATTATGTTATGTTATATTGAAGATTTTCTTGTGTTGATAATAAAGCAGAAGTTTTATGTACAAAGAGAATCAATAAAATATTCCACTAATGCATAGCTTCTGTCTGTATATGAGATATACTTTATCTCATAATATCAAATGTCAAATTCATACTGTATATTGTTATGGACCAGTCAGCGAACTGATAAATATAGATAACTATGTTAAAAATTTACTATTTTAGTGAAGATTTTCATAATCTAAATTGCTATTGACTGTACAGTATGTTTTCCCAGGGTAAAAATTTATAGAATGTAAATATGAATAGAGTAGAAGAATTTTTGAAACTGCACTTTATCGAACTATTTTAATTTGCGAACAGAGAAAAGATATTCTTTTGAGATTAAGCTAGAAAGTAATAAAGAATTGAAATGCCATAATTTATCAATATCTATCTTAATCATGTATATAGTAAACAAATGGTTGAGGAGTGTGACAGCTCCATATCAATTCTGAGAATGCGGAGTGATGCATCTGTTCAGATTCATCTGAAAACATTTGATCACCATTTCACACGAGTTAAACTGGAACTGGCTATCATTTTCCATGAACTGGAATCGAAACTGTTCGCGAGCTTCTTAGTACAGTTTCTCATATTTCACAAGATTCAACTGTCACACGCGTATTCTTACTCCAGGGTCTGATTTAATTTGAAGACAAGTACTCTTCTAATATCCACCAATGAAGTGTATAGAGATTTTCTTAATTATTGAATATATGAATGTTCAATAGGATCAAAACTGTATCAAGAAGTAAAATCAATAGTTATCAATTTACAATCCTACTCTATTTTGTATTGAAACAGATTCTGAAGTTTAAAAAAACCTTGGCCAACAAAATCTTTTTATATCATGTATTGGAATAGTGTTCAACGAATACACTCTTTATCCTTATTTCTTTCTTTTTATAACAAAAATAATCAGTTTTCGTCAATGAATCATCGTACAACTTCAGCCACTACAAAAGTCAATAATTCATTCCTCTACTAGGAATTTAATCGCTTGTATAGAAAAGAAAGAGAACGTTCTTTATTATCACATATCATTGTTACATTCGACATACATGTCCATATTTCATGAAAAAACATGTTTTCAGTGACATTTGCTATTGTCCTACTTTTTTTCTCTATTGTTTATTATTATTTTAAATCCAAATATTTTACGTTACATGGCCCTATACCTGGCATTCCACCTCACTTTATGTTCGGAAATTTACTTCATTGTGCATTTCTTTTACCAGGAGCTGGGTCAATACCAGATGTTCTTCTATACATGAGAGAAAGATTTGGTGATGTTTATCAACTATGGCTAGGATCAAAACGTATGATAATGATCAATTGTCTTGAAGATGCACAACATATATTTTCTCATCGACTAATCTATGATCAAGGTGATGTTTTTACTAAAAATCTCAAAATCATAAATCCACATGGAGTTATTTGTTTAAAAGGTAGATTTATTTTGACACATTTATTCAACTGATGATTAGAATGTTATTTATTTAGGTGCAGAATTCAAACGACATGCTAGTTTTACGGCTCCATTATTCCGTCGGGCAAAAATTCTTGTTCATTTTAATACAATTACTGAATGTACTGATAAATTATTAGATCGATGGCGTACTCAATACAAAGATTCAAACGAAGTTCATCTAGATATGATTGAACAATCACAACAGTTATTACTTGGTATATTTGGTTTTATTGCTTTTGATTATGATCTTCAAACACTTGAGGAAAATTCAGGCAATAATAAACATGAACTTACTGAAGCATTTCATTCATTTTTAAATACTATGCAAATTGTTCTTCAATTACCAACATTTGTAGCTCGAATCTTCTGGTTTTTAAACTTTAAAGCACGGCGAGCACGAACTATTATTGATCGATATGTAAACGATATGATTGAACATGAATTAAATTCATCATCAGAAATGAGATCAGAACGTAAACGAATAAGTTTTATAGCATCATTGGTAACTTCTTTACAAGCAGATGAAAAAGCTGAAGCAGCGAAACCGGAAGAAGAAAAGAAAGGTAGATTATTCGCAATAAAAAAAATATTATTTTATTCATTCCTAGTGGATATATAGGACTGTCTCGAGTCGAAGTAATGAATGAAATGATTGGATTTCTTGGTGCCGGTTATGGCACAACATCAACTTCGCTTATATGGTTCATTTATTTTATGAGTAAAAATCCACAAATTCAAAATCAGATCAAAAAGGAACTGGCTGAATACAATGGTCAACGTATTTCACACGAACAACTGGATTCACTTGTTTATTTAGAATGTGTCCTTCGTGAATTATTACGTTTAGTTGGACCTGCATTAGGTACTATTCGAACATTAATAACTGATGATAAACTACCAGCAAGTGGATTTGAATTGAAAAAAGGTGAATCAGTCATGATTTCATTCTATGCTTTAGCAAGAGATAAACGTTATTGGTCTGATTTATATGATCTAAATGAATTTCATCCTGAACGATTTCTTTATGATACAGAACATAAAAATAATCTGTCTGCACTGATGGCATTTGGTGGTGGTCATCGGCAATGTATGGGTCAAGATTTAGCTCGATTGGAATTGAAGTTGATTTGTGCAAGACTTATGCAATTTGTAAGTTTTGGTGATGGTGGAAATGAAGTAAATAGTGGAGGATATAATGTAACAAATGTAAATAAACCAAAGAAAATTGGTGTAACTGTTAGATTTGATTAATTATATAATTTTGTAAAACATTCTCTTATGACTTTAAAAAAAAACACAATACTTTTATATTTATTTTTTTTACGGGTTGCAGTAAATCTCTTTTAGCTTTAGAATTGAAAGCCGCGTATATCATGAATTGCTTAGGTAACATTTACATCAACTTTTAAAATTGTTTTTTTGTCATATTATGATACAAAAACTTAGAGGCTTCGCAATTGTCCGGTTAAAAACTAGCTTCAAAATTAATCTGATATGTAACATTGTTTGACTCCATGAAAAAAGAGAGGAGAAAAACGTAAGACAGACAATAGCTATACTGTTGATATTAACAATTTAAGTAGAGCTGGGCGAGTACGAGTACAACAAAACCGTACTCGAGTACCAACACGAGTACTATTGTATCGAGGGTGACTAAGAGTTTTTGCCATAGTTGGTAGGGGGACAAATCTATATTTAAACAGTCGAAACAAAAAGACGTCAAAAATTCATGTCATCCACGCAGCACATAATCATATAGTAATTTTTTATGAGACATAATTAAGAACTCCAAGATCATATTCTCGAGTACAAGTATGAGTACCAACCCCTCGAGTACGAGTACTTTGCTCAGTTCTGAATTTAAGAATATAGTAGTAATTTTGTTTTGATCTTTGACCGTCTTGATTTATCTATTTCATCTCAAACTTATCACTCATAATGCGTAAGTAAATATATATAAAAATCTGAGAGCGAATCTATTGCATTGCTAGTTGCAGATATAAAATTTGAAGTTTACTTGATACTTTTTCTGACAAATATTTTATTTCTTCATTTGTAATTCACATTATATTCATGTTTCGGATCTGAACAATATCAAAGTACTCTTTTAATTAACTTAGACAAGAATAATATTATAAGTTTATTATGATTTAGGTCAGTTAAAATTACTTTTAAAAATGTCACGAAATAATTTCGAACACGTGATAAAGATAACATGCAAAAAGAACTTCGCTTAATCATAGCTATAACAATATTTGACAAATTAATCAAGAAGTCCTTCAACCTTAAGCTATTCGTCCAACGGATGATTTATTATTTTAACAACTTACATCATGAACAGAAAACATGATTAATCATTTCAATGATTCATTATTTCTTAATTATCAATTTCATAATAATATTCACAAAAAATTTCTCGTAAAAATTATTTTTATTTCATTAATAAAAAACAAACAAATATAATGAATAAATTATGATATGTACGGAGGCACATAGACATGTTCGATGGTAGCTATTAGCTATATAAGAACGATCGAAATCATCAGCTGCGAGACAGCAGACAGTGAAATCAAAAGAAATAAATAAAAAAAAAAGAACAACAACATATGTACTGTCAATATTATTTGAAACTAAATAAAAAATTCAGTCAGATAAATAATTATAATAATGTTTTCAACAACTAATGTAAATCCATCAGTAGTATCAACTTCTGCCGTTGTTCACCCTAATTATCAAATAATGAATACACCAAATAATCATCATACATTTGTTTCATCGTCTTCAACAAATCCTTCTTGGCATTTAACAGCTCCAACATCATCAGCTGTTTCAAAAATCAATAAAAATTCATCAACATATTATATTACAACACAACCATCATCAACACCGAATAATATTATTCGTCAGTCTTCACAAACAGTACATCTCGTCTCACCATCCTATACATTAATCAATAATAGTAATACAACAATAACTGGACAAGGTCCGACAATATCAAATTTAAATAATAATAATAATAATTTTCAAACGGGTACTTGTATTGATAAATCTACACTTGGACGATTAGCGACATCAACAATTCAACGACAAATAATTTTAGAAAATATCGAAGAAAAGGTTGAATGAAAAGAAAATTTTTCAAATTTGATTTTTCTAAAAGAAAAAACTAACAAAAAATACTTTAAAATTTCTTTTTAGACAAATGACATTGATACACAAAATAATCAACAAGATCCTGAAATAGAATTATTTGTAAATAATATTGTTTGTACATTTGCACTTGGTTGTAAATTGAATCTACGGAAAATTGCTATGGAAGCAGCAAATGTCATTTATAAACGTGGCAATGCTGTATGTTTTGTTTTCATTTATTTTAAAAGTAAATCTATTTTCTTTTTTTGTCTTATAGATGTTATTGATGAAGATGCGAAATCCATATTGTTCAGCCAACCTCTGGTCATCGGGCAAAGTGACAGTAACAGGAACAACGAGGTGTGTGTAAAAGGATAAATTCTATTAGTAGCATTACAGATAAATGTATACCACTACATATTCCAGTGAGGTTGATGCACAACGTGCGGCACGACGTGTTGCTCGATGCTTACAACGACTCGGATTCAACACCAAATTTCGAAACTATCGTATTGTCAACTGTCTTGCAACGTGTTCAATGCCATGGACAATTGATATTGTTAAACTAAGTCGTTTGTATCCTGAATGTGTCAGGTAATTGAAGAAAAAAAATACAAATGATGATTTTATTTTTAATATTGATCTTTCTTTTTTTAGTTATGAACCTGAAATTCATCCAGGTGCTACAGTCAGATTGAACAATAGAGCCGTTCTCAAAGTTTTTACCACTGGAAGTGTAACATTGACAGGTAATTGTATAAACGAAATCATTCATTAAATTTTCATAGAATTTAAGATTATGATCTTCATTTATTAATATAAATAAAGAATAATGGGAGTAGAATAATAAATGTTTTAGTTTACCTAGGGAGTAAAATCAGCAAATCTAATCGATCTCTCTATGGTCAGTAGTAGGATTTCCCTAGTTGTGTAGTTATTTATTTATACTCAAAGCGAATAAAATCTGCGCAACTTTTCTGATACATTCAGTAGATGAATGCCAAATTTTACTTTTGCTTTATTTGATTAAACCATACCTCTTTAAATCAATACTTCATTGCTCGATCTAAACCATAAATCTCTCTAAGGTATATGTATTATTTATATTTTCTTGTAGAACTTAATTTAATCGAAAATAAATGATTTGAAATTTATTTTAGCACCATCTGTTGATGTTATCAATACGGCAGTAAATGATTTCTATCCTCAATTATTTGAATGTCGAAAAAATAATCGTAATACTAATGAACAACGCCAATAAATCTTACAATCCCGTCTAGTTGTTTTTTCTCGTGACTATCATCATATTTCTCTTTCTTTATTGTGTTTTCTCTTCTTCTTCTTCTTCTCGGGCTGTATATATATATATCTTAATATCATTTAAAAAGTCTTTTTGTCTCTACTACTACTACTACTAGTTCTCTTTTTTCTGTTGCTCATCTATCAAAACAAAGTCACATAAGTTTTTTTTCTTCTCTTCTTTTCTCTTTTGATTGTTATTCAATTTCGTATATATATATATATATATTTCTCTTTCTCTCTACAAATTTGTATATATATTTATATATGTATAGATAAAGAGAACAAAACTTGATGATGAATAGCACCAAAGCATCTTCATC